AAATTAGGATGAGGGAAGCAGTTCAGTTTTCCAACACTTTGTTCCCTGTAAAATCTGAGCAATATTTGGTGACAGTCCCAACCTTAAGTACAACAGAAATGTTTTTGTTGTTTTCTTGCATTGTTTTTAACTTTAAAAAATGTCTTAAAGCTTAACAAAATCAAAATATCATTTAAAAACAGAACAAAGGACCCATAGAAGTTCAATATGTGTAATTAAAATCTGAGTGGAACTGTAGAACTTATATCCAATAACATTTAGTGAAGAAACCTGTTTTGTGGACAAAAAAGTATTTAGTTTGTGAAATATTCTACTGTAACGCAAGTAATAAGTAAAATAGGATGCAGAACAAAGACAAAAAACATATATCTTTGCATATTTACCTTATGGTTCTATTTAAATTATAGCTCTATTTGTGCTGAAGCATTTTATTATTATTATTTTATTCTTTATTTCTGAAGCATTTTATCCGATTTTGGTGCCTTATTTTTTTCTTCTCAGACTTGATTATGATTACTGCGATTTTAACGATTAAGAGAAAATTAAAACAAAATTTCATTTATATTTAAAACTGCATGTTATTGTTTGTTGTTGTTGTTGTTGTTTTTTTTTTTGTTTTTTTTTTTGCATAAAATATAAAATAAGCAAAAAAAGAAAAAGTTGGATTAAAAATTTACATGTTAAGTAAGAAATTGTAAGAAAAACGTAATGGTTGTTTAGATGTGGAAAAATCTAAATACCGGAAATGATATATATGCACTTGTTGATCTGAAAGAAATCCACCCAAAACAACCTAGTAAACATGATGGATAACTGTTAATATGTTTGATTAGTAGTTTTGTTTGTAGTTTTTAAACTCTTTAAAATAAATTCAGAGTTTTATCTTGTTTATTAATCCACATTATGTTTACTTTTTTGATTTTTTTTTTTCTTTCATTCATCTGGAAAATAACAAAATAAAAAAAGATCATTTTAAATAGCTGTGTGTTTTTATTTTAAGATATGTAGAATATGGTGTTTCTGATTATTCTTAATTAGGTATGATGTTTGTAGTAAAATGTAAAGAGAAAGAATAATAAAGAATTTTCACAAATATCTAACATCTTAGGAAAAGTGTGCAGTTTGCTGCAACCAGAGAGCTTAATATGATTAAACTATTTATAAATGTGTCTGTATCTTAAACAACATAACAATATCTCCTCTTGGCTTTTCACAAATAGGAAATTAGACAATTATACAAGAACTGCAACAGAAATTTACAGAGAAATTAATCTAAAACACAAAAAAAAGATAGTGAATCGTCATAGGAAAAGATTATTCAACTATTCGCTGCAGAGAATAATAAACGGAGATCAATGTATTTCAATCAGTTGGCATCTTTGCAAATAGAGAAAAGTTCATTATTAGGCCCTTATTGCATGGTAATCAGCCCTGTGTATTGTGGAGGTCAGGGACACCACGTGTCCAGTTATCGGTCAAAAGGACAGGATCAGTAGAGGGGGTGGGAACTCTATTGAGCCATACTAATACATTTAAATCCCCCTCTCTCACCATCCCTGCCACGCTTACCATCTCATCTGAAGTCTACGTTTATAGACTCTCATGCAGACATGGAGTTCATGGATAAATGGCCAGAGACCATCCATTTCCTCTCATGATGTATTTGCCCTGGATGTTCATCACCTCAACCTATCATATCTCGTCGCTAAAGAGTTGAGCCTGACTCTTGGGGGGAATCATAGAGAAATTATATCTTTTTCTGATCATTCGGTCACCACAAGTCCCTGTTAGCATTGGGGCAACCTTGCTCCAGAAACATAACAACCATATAGATTGGCAGAGGGTCGAGATCCTGGGGTAGGCACCTTCATGTTCTGTCATGATCTTGGCACTGATGACTTCCTTAATTACTCATTTCATTCACCTGTCCAACTCTGCCTGGTGTCTCATCACTGCTCATCCGATCCACATGCTCCTAACTCCATTTAAGCTGCTTGCATGCAGTCATTAGGGCCAGATTATCTTGTACTCTCTCTACCCAGTGGTGAGAGTGTTTTTAGAGTACCTTGGTTTTTCTGATTACCTGATCCTGACCTGTTCTGCCTCTCAAGCACTGAGCCGCCTGTTCCTGTGTGAACGTTTTGCTGAACTGTCTTTGGACTCCTGGATCTCTGAGCCTGCCTGTTCCTGTTCTGATCTGTTTGCCGGAGCTGCAGCATCTGGGACACTCTGAGCAGTGCCCGCTGCATCTTGTTTGGCATCTTGTTTTACCTCTATTTTGATGTTATTCTTCTCAATATTATTCTTAGACTTCATGTAAATAACTCTGCAAACTAGTCAGATTAGATTCCAACTTCAGCTGTTCACAAAGTTCCTATTTAAACTGTTGACTGCCAGGTTTCATCTACAGGATATATGTTGTGTTTGCAGATTTCACAACTGTGTTATATTACAAAATAGATCCATCCAAAGGTGTTAAAAAACAGCAGCTGATTTGAGTTTTTCGTCTTCTGGTGTTTTATTTCCATTTTAGTTTGGGCTGTTAACAGGTTAATAGATGAATTCCTGGAATCGCTCTGTACAGACATGCATTTATTATAAAACAGGCTTAAATGACAGTCAGAAATCTCTAGAGGCAAAATAAGTTATGTAAGATAAAGGCACTGCTGAAACCTGCAGCCTTCATTAGGGACAAAACCCAGGAGCATTCCTCACTCGCACTAAAGCATGGAAAAAGCTTTGTCAGCAGGATGGATGGATGGATGGATGGATGGATGGATGGATGGATGGATGGATGGATGGATGGATGGATGGATGATGGATGGATGGAAAAGATGGAGTGTAAAATATTCTGTAAAGCTGCCGCACTTTTCTTATTTCGATAGTGTTCTCCAGATCGTTGCAAAACCACTAACTGTAGTTCCTTCACCGACAACCAACGCTATGCAATCAGAGAAATTAGCTCCTGTGGCCTGTAGGCATTGAAGGCATTTCAGGGTTTTTGCTTTATAGGAGGCGTGGCTTTCAGCTCCATCCTGGAGTGGAGGTCATTTTGATATGGAAAAGATTATTTATGGTTTTACATTTTGTTTCATATACACTTTGCTGTAGACTATTCTTAATCAGACTAAAAGTTTTACAATCATTTTACTTTAAAATAATCTAGTTTCAAAAGTAACTGAAGTGACGACTGGAGAGCAAGAGTTTGCAATTGATGAAAAAAAACTTAAGTTCTATCTATCCATCTATTCTAAACTCATAGCCGTCAAG